CAAAAAATCCGGCGCGGTTATCCAGATCCGGTCTTACCGCCCACGCACACACTCCCTCCTCGTTAATCGCGCGTGCAGGTACGTCCCGTCGGCTGACGCCACGTCGCGTCCAACCGCAGCAGCAGCAGGAGCCGTTTCGCCTCCCCGAAAAAGCCGCCTCAAAAGACGCGCCTGCCATTAATTAACCGTGGGAGAAAATAACCCCGATTCCTTCGAGCAAAGGCGGGGGCACCAAGCCCGCTATGGTCCAGGGTTTCAAGGTGGGCCCTTAGGGGTTTCGGCAATAGCCCAGGCAACAGAGTCGGGGCAACCACTGGGCGAGCCTACACAAAAGCCGAGGCCCAAGCAAGCGAAACGCTTGGGGCGCCTGTGTTGTGTCCGAGACCGGCAGGGAGGTCTCCGAATGGGATCCCACCGTAGGGAGGCACCGAGCCACCGAGGCCCAGCGAACGGCCTCGGCACCCACTAGAGAAACCCTCCGGTACTCTTGGAGCGCGTCTCCGGACCGCTAGCCGACCCCAACGGGCAAACGGGGTACGGGCCTCCACTCGGACTTACCCGATAACAGCTCACCGGAAGTGCCATCGCTCGCGCCCACCGAGGGTAGCGTGGCACATTCCACCCTCCTTCCGAGCGAAAAGGAAGCGCGAGGTCGAATAAAAAGTCGAGAATCCTCGACGGCCCTCTTGCTCCGTCACGAGAGGCTAGGGACTCTTCTTGCAAAACGCGTTGCGAGGCCCAGCGACTTGAGCTCGCACACGAGGGGTCTCGGCAAAAACCAACCCTCCTTCCGAGCGAAAAAGAAAGCGCGAGGGTCGTTCAAAAAGCGGAAGAACTCCCCGACGGCCCTCTTGCTCCGTCAGCAGGCTAGGGAGCTCCTTCCGCAAAAGACGCCGAGACCCATGACCTAGGCTCGCACCCGAGGGGGCTCGGCGGTCAGACCCTCACGCTGAGGGGTGAACCAAAAGCCGGGGACCTCGACCGCTCTCTCGCTCCGTCACGAGAGACTGAAACTCCTCCTGCAACTTTGCCGAGACCAGCTGGCTCAGCTCGCACACGAGTGGACTCGGCAAACAGCCCCCCCGTCCGAGCGAAAAGGGCCAGGCGGGGGCGGCAAAAAGTCGGGAGGACCCTGACCGCCCTCTCGCTCCGTCACGGAGGCTCGGGGCTCTTCCCGCACCCAAGATAAAAACAAGCGACCCGATCCCGTTCACGGTCCAGGGTTGAAAGCTGGGCCCCAGGGGTTTCGGCAATGTGCCCCAGGGGCAAAAGAGTCGGGGGCGACTACAGGCGAGCTGTCTGAGCACGCCTACATGTTGTGTCCGAGACCGGTAGGGAGGTCTCCGAATGGGATCCCACCGTAGGGAGGCACCGAGCCACCGAGGCCCAGCCACGGCCTCGGCACCCACTAGAGAAACCTCCCGGACTCTTGGAGCGCGCGCGTCTCGGACCGCTAGCCGACCCCAGCCGAACGGGTACGGGCCTCCACTCGGACTTACCCGATAACACTCACCGGAGATGCCATCGCTCGCGCCCACCGAGGGTGGCATGGCATCTTTCACCCCTCCTTCCGAGCGAAAAGGAAGCACGAGGGTCGTACAAAAAGCCGGAGAACCCCAGCGGCCCTCTCGCTCCAAAGGAGGCTAAGGGCTCTTTCCGCAACATCGCCGAGGCCCATGATCCGAACTCGCACCCATGGGCCCGGCAAACACGATCAAAACGCCTCACTCGAAGAGAAAAAAGCCCCAAGAAGTGAAATCACTCCTCCAGGGGCCTCGGGAGCTACACCGGCCCAGTGCGCTCACGCACACCACCCACAAACCTCGAAAACAAAACACCATCCCGGCAGGAGCTATCAAGAGCCAATTCTCGTCGAAACCTCGGGGAGTGCCTCCACTCCCCCAAGGCTCGGGGCTCTTGTCGGATACCGTGAGAAGGGGTACCCTAAGCAAGATCCAAAAACGATCGCTTAGATTTCATAAAGATCGAAACCATTAAGCAGCTGCTGCCTCGGCCGATTCTCCGACTCGCCCGAGGCCCCATCACCAGCAGGGCCTCGGCCGATTCTCCGACTTCGCCCGAGGCCTCATCACCATGGACCTCACCGATTCTCCGATTCGCCCGAGGCCCCCCTCACCGCGGGCCTCGGTCGATTCCCCAAAAGGCCTCGGCCGAGGCCACCGACCCTCCGTCTCGCGCAAGGCGGGCTCGGCAAAGACTCCGCTACCTCTTCCTTCTCCCGTCCCTCTCCGCAAAACGTCGTGTCATCATCAACTCAATAGCTGCTGCCCGACAACACCGCATGCCCGGCAGACAAGACATGAGAATGGCCGATGGCCGATGGGACAGAGGCGGACTGGCGGGGGTTACCCGCCATCATACTAACCACCGTGCACATGGGTTGGCGCCCATGCCTCACTATCTTGCCAACTCCCTGCACCGAGGACAATGCAGCGTGGGGAGCCACATCTGGCCTATCGTGGCCTCGGAATCGCACCAGGAGCAATAATTCCCTCAAGGCCTCGGCGGCTTGCTCCGAGGGCTCGACAGCCCAGAGGACCCATGTCCGCCAAAGCCCCGCGATGGCTTGGCCTCGGCACCTCAGAGCCACGGCCCCTCACGACGTCATCACGCGATGACCTGACGTCCCCGATCGGGCGGGGTTACCCGCCATCAGATTAACTAACCACCGCACATGGGTTGACGCCCATGCCTCACTATCTTGCCAACTCCTGCACCGAGGACAATGCAGCGTGGGGGGCCACATCTGGCTCACGTGGCCTCGGAATCGATGCCGTGAGCAATAATTCCCTCAATGCCTCGGCAGCTTGCTCCGGGGCTCGACACCCGAGGACCCATGTCCGCCAAAGCCCCCACGATGGCTTGGCCTCGCACCTCTGAGCCACGACCCCCTACGACGTCATCACGCGATGACCTGCACATCCCCCGGATCAAGGGGGGTTACCCGCCATCAGACTAACCACCGTGCACATGGGTTGGCGCCCATGCCTCACTATCTTCGCCAACTCCTGCACCGAGGACAATGCAGCGTGGGGAGCCACATCTGGCTCATCGTGGCCTCGGAATCGATACCGAGCAATAATTCCCTCCAAGGCCTCGGCGGCTTTGCTCCAGGGGCTCGACAGCCCGAGGACCCATGTCCGCCAAAGCCCCCCGCGATGGCTTGGCCTCGGCACCTACAGAGCCACAGCCCCCTACGACGTCATCACGCGATGACCTGCACGTCCCCCGGACTGGGCAGGGGTTACCCGTCACTATGCTATCCACCGTGCACATGGGTTGACGCCCATGCCTCACTATGCTGCCAACTCCTGCACCGAGGACAATGCAGCATGGGGAGCCACGTCTGGGCTACTGTGGCCTCGGAATCAGTACCCAGGGCCAATAACTCCCCCCAAGGCCTCGACAGTTTGCTTCACGGGCTCGGCAGCCTGAGGGTCCATGACCACCGAGCCCCCCACGATGGCTCGGCCTCGGCATCTGCAGAGCCGCTGCTCCCTACGACGTCATTACACGGCGACCAGCACGTCGCCCGCCATGTCCTGCATCAAGCCGTACTGGAGCCCCACGACGCACAAGACCGAGTATGACCAGCATGTCACTTCCGCACGACAAGGACGGGGCCACTCCATCGACCATACCACAACAGTGGCCGACTACAGGGCTCGGACACGCCACCCCATTTACAGAAGCGCTATGTAGCACCCTGTGCACGGTCCCGGTCCTCCCTTAGAGTATAAAAGGGAGGGACTGGGGCCATTTCTGGGAGGCCAGAAAGACGAACACGCCGATAGAACCACGCACTCCTACGCTGCTTGGGAACAACGCCTCAAGCAGCCCGCACCACACTCGCCGAGACCTGGGGCTAGTTCCCTCTCTCACCTAGCTTGTAACCCCCTACTACGAACACTCCGGTGCAAGGAATACAAGATCGATCTCTCGGACTGGACGTAGGGCCTCGATTGCCTGAACCAGTATAAACCTTGTGTCTCTTTGCGCCACCATCCGGGATTAGGGGCACGCAGCACAAATTCACTCGTTGGTTGAGGGACCCCCGGTTCCAAAACACCGACACATAACAATATGAAAAATTATTTCCCTGTTTTGTATATTAAGGATCAGAAGCAAACTATTCTTTAGAAATTACAAGCCAATGAAATCCGGCAAGCTCTATAACCGTGAGTACATGTCACAGAATATCCTAGTTGCAAATTCCACTTTTCCTAGCAGCTGCGGGTCAAATAAGATGCACTGCACCCACCAACAAAGCAGAACACATGGACAGACAAGGTGCAGGCAGCTGCCCAATAAAGAGCTCTTTCCCTTTCAGTAAAAAAGTATGAGCCAGAAAAGAGTTTTTGAGGGGAAAAACTAGGGAAAACCCTTACAGCCGTATAGCACGTGAATCAACAGAAACATGTTAGCCTGTGGTTTTAAAAATTGTACCACACCACAAGGCTTTGTATGCACTCATGACTCATGCAACTTTCTTCAGACTTCTAATAGGCTTGCAGGAAAAATGCAGCGTGGTAAAAAAAAAAATCATTATGCTGTATATTATTGAGATGTCTGGTTTCAAAATTCAATCCAGTGAGTAACCCACCCCGCAATTCGAGTTTGTACTGTTTACTTTGATTTTGTTATCTTCTCCCTCTAAATAGTTCTTCAATATAAAACGGTGGGAACGCCTAGAACTAACGAATCTAGATGAAAACGAGGGAGCATGTCAGCATGTGCAATTTGATCAGCCTCCAAAGTTAATAGTAGTAGTCAACGGGGATCTTTGACCAGCACCAAACCAAAACCGCCGTCTTTTTTGCTCGGAATTTTACACGGCGATTTGTCCCAAAATCCGGACGAAATCCAACGCCAAAGCAGACATTTCTTCCACATCTCCGGTTCAAACAATTCGGCACGCCACATGAATCGAGAAGAACAGGGAAGAAAAAAAAGAAAGAAAAACGATAACGAATCCCCACCTGCTGCGAGCTCCGGCTCCCAAAGCTCGTCAGCCGCCGCACGGACACGGAGGCGGACTCCAGCTTGTCCTCAGACACCGAAGACGGCGCCTCCGCCGCCGCCACCACCGGCGGCGCGTCCTCGATGGCCCTCTGGCGCGCGGGCACGCTGACGCAGAGGCTGGTGGCGAGGGCGCGCTTCGCGCGGGCCCACGCCGCCGCCATTGCCCTCCTCTCGGTCCTCGGAGCACGAACGGCGTCTCCTTCCGAGCGCACCAACGAAATGTTGGCAGTCGGTGCCTGCTCGGTCTCGGCGGAGGAATTGCTGGCTGCGAGCGAGATCAGAAGCGCAGGGCTCGGGGCTGAATGGTTCTCTCCATCGCGGTGGGAGACGGACGGCGGAATTCGCGGTGGCAGCGGGCGCGTGGCGTGCTGGTGTGGTTCGACGTTGGGGTTTTGGTCGTCGCAGGCAGAGCGAGAGCCGGAGAGGCCGTGGAGGCATATAAACGGAGAGGAAGCCGGAGAGAGAAGAGGAGGGAAACGGAAGAAAGGAGAGGAGATAGTGGCGTGCGTTTGACAAATCACAGCTTGCCGTTTTGCCCCTGGGAAAAGTACTGTGGAATATTTTTCGTCATCTTCAATTTCGGCACACATCAGGCCAGTGCCAAGAAGAAGCTCAGCATAGAATAGGTGATGTAGATTTCACCGGTTCTCATCTAACAATCCATCTAGTTACAATATATGAGGGATTGCCATAAGTCAACTGTACTCTAAAATTTGGTTATAATAACTATTTGTAGTATTTGTTAAGTTTGCATATTGGAAAATAGTATAAGCAGATTTGTCCGGGGACGCTTATAATATATTATTAATATTTTATAAATACTGTCTTATATTTTTATACAAAAAAAATCGTATTAACAAAAAAACAGTGGATTTTTCCAGTTCCAATTTCGATGTAGAGATGTCGCGCACGTGGGAATGGAGCGGGTTTTGGTTAATTGATGGTCGTTAGTAAACACGCTGAACCACAAAAGGCAAATATGATTCTTTTCACTTCAACGGTACAAAGTACAACGAGCAATGCTGGCATGCGTGTAGTACATGTACAGTAGGAAACATACGCAAACACGCGTTTGTCTCTTTGTTAACGTGAAGGGGACTTTTAGGTCTTGCAGACTGGACATTACTAGTGTATTTTAAGTATAAAAAAAATATTTGACCATAATCTCTTACAAAAAAAGCACTTTGATTCTAGATATATTATGAGATTTTTATGTCTTAAACTTTTTTATATAATTTGCTTGATTGTTGGTCGAAGTTCATCAAAATTGATTTTTTTTTCGTGTAGAAAATACTGAGGTACTAGGATAACATTTGACCGAATAATCAAAGATTAGCTGCGCATTCATCAGGAAGGTCGTTAAGGTAGCGCCGGATGGGACCGGAGGCAGTTTAATCCATTCATCCCGTGGACCTGGCTCGTTCAGATTTCAGAAGCTGTGCTGCACGTGGCGTCTCCCAAAGAAGCCTCTACAGATCAACACAGCTTTAGGAGTAGTAGCGATGGATCGGCGGCATGGTCTCCGATGTCCGATCACCGCAGAGCGGCGCGGCCGATCGGTGGGCTTTGTTCACCTACGGCAAACTCAGCGGCCGCCGCCGCCTCAGCATCCGGGGGCAGGCAGCCGCAGCACGGCCAACGTCATGCGGTACGACGCGAACGCGATGGAGAGGCGCGCCGCGCGCGTGCCTCCGGGCCTCAGCGCTTGCGTGCGCTTCCCCGGCCGGCTCGATCGACCCCGGTCACGATCACGGCGCGCCATGGTGGCCGTGTCTCCACACGCACGCTCTTCCGGCCGCTGCACGCAACGCGAAAGGCGCGCGTGCCCGATGCCCGATGCCCGATGCCCGATGCCCGCCCCGCCCCCGCGGTATGGCGGGAAACGGCTGGGGTGGCGCTCGGGTTTCGGCGGCTGCAAGCCGTGCCGGGTAGGCTACTCGTTGGGGTGTTGGGGGAGTTGGGACGGGACGGCGTCGGCACCGACCGACTTGGCACGCCAGGCACGGACCTCGATAGATTGCGTATGTTTTGCATCAGCGAGTCCGGACCGGGGTGGGCGTGCATCCGTACCTGCACACCAGCTGCTTACACATGTTCTGTTCGCTGAATCATATCAGCTATGCTTATCAGTCATGCCATAGTATTTTTGTCTCACGATCGTTTTGACCTGCTGTCTTCTTAAAATATCCGCGGTGCAGGGCAATACAATTCTATTTTGTCCTTTTTTTTCTTCCTCGGCCACAATTTTTTTTCGATATACAGCCAAAGAAATCCCCAAGAGTCTCAGGAATTTTATACATGAATAATGTAGGAATTTTACGGAAACCAGTTTATTTTCACGGCAGCACTAACGCCCGAACGTCCGGACGCCCACACCTGCTGCAACACCCGCGCCAGCCACTCCCCCACGTTTCCCTGCTTCCCGCGTCCTCCATGCCTGCAGCGCCGCTCCAGCAGCTGCAGCAGGCAGCTGCAACAGGTGGCTCACATTGCGACATGCACAATCACCTCCGATCTATTTTTGAAACATCCAAATAAAACAATTGCAACATACGTACGAAACAGCTAAAACATTCGAAACATGCGTCTGAAACATATGCAAAAAACACATGGAAAACACTTGAAAAATGATTGCAAACATATACTCCCTCCGTACTCAAAAAAGTCGACGTTCTGGGCCTTTGGCCCGTTTTTACAAAGTTTGACGTTGTGCCATGGCAGGGTGAACTTTGGACTGGATTGCCCCTAGCCGACGCCGCCGCCCGTTAAACCCGATTGCCCGTCCGGCCGTCCGCCCATCTTCACTCCCCATTAATTGTTGTTCCTTCATCTTCCTCTCCACGCTCAACTCGCTATTAGAGTTCGTTCTTTATTCCTTGCCGCCACGAATGGATCACTCGCGCGCCGCCTTCGCCGCCACACGCGCCCGAAGCGCGCGCCGCCGCCGCTTCCTTCCGCTTTGCGCTTTCGTCGCGCGCGCTTCGCCGCGTGCGCTGCTTGCTGCTCGCCGCCGCTTCGCCGCTCGCCGCCGCTTCGCCCGCTCCGCGCCCGCTCGCGTCCTCGTCGAGTCCGTTGCGGAGGAGGTGTGCTTTGCCCGTCAGCGGCCTCGTCGATGTTCGCGGACTCGGATGAGACGTTCGCGGACGTCGAAGAGGTGCCGGACTCCGTCGAGCAGGTCGCGGCCTCCGTCGACATGGTTGCAGACTCAGTCGACATGGTGCCCGACTCCGTCGAGCCTGACTCCGTCGAGTCTCTATGCCCTCGCTGTGGCACGTTCCACAGCTGGCGGTGTCTTCGGAGAAGCTTGCTACCAAGCTCGCCGGAACGCACGCAGTGTGGCCGTTGTGGACTTCTACACGAAGATTACGATATGCCAAGAAAGTGGTTCCATCTAATGGACAAATTCGATTATGAGTTCTATATTCTGATGTGGCCAAACTTGAAATGGATGGTACTAGAATCAAGTTGATGATGACGTTTTGAAGAAGGTGGAAGAGCATATTAAGAAGCAACAAACAAAGAGCACTAAGGTACAATACAGATCTCTCAATTTGGCCATTGCAAACCTAAGATACACTCATCTAATAATTTGCATAAACTTGCATCTTCTAATTTGTTACAGGAAGACTAGCAAGTGATTCGGCTAGCAATGAAGCTTCACAAGGGATTTGCAATGGCAGCCTCTTTTCCCTCTCTAGTGCTTGTTTGTTCATGTGAGGAATCTTGATTTTGTTGCAACCTTTTACCTTCATTGCTTCCTTCAAAACAGTTTGTAGTGTGACAAAGATCCTATTTGCTTTCTTTGGACAGTACTCCAAAAATGCCTACAAAAAACAAATTGTAGTGAGTAGAGTACTTTAGTTGTTCAAGATCAATTTAATCAATCGAATGGATGATCATTTACCTCTTGCACTGCTGGAATTAGATCTTTAATTGTCTTAGCATCTTTCTTGTATTGAATGGCTTGAATAGCTCGAAAAAACCCCAAATCTAGAATGTTAAAATCTGGAGAATTGGGTGGTTGACATATAAGCCTAATGTCAAACCCATCTTGCTTTGCAACCGCACAAAAATGAGGATCATCAACTTTTAAATGAGATGGAGCATTATCTTGTTGAATGAATATTGGCTTGTTGACATCTTCTCTTGGCCACTTTGCTCTAATTGCGGGCAACACTCTATTTATCATGAAATCTCTTATCACATCCCTTGTGATTGATTGAATTGGTTTGATTACTTCCTCTCCACGAAGACGGTTGTGGCTTCCTCTAATAGCTTGTTCAAAATTGACTAGTGGAAAGCAACCTATTTTTGCCATCAAACACACATACTCCATTTCTAAATCGTGGCCGAGCACATACACATAAGAACATGATCCTAGGGATGTAGTTCTTGTTCTTGCAAAGGCGGTGTGGTTCATCTTCCTCGGGTAGTAAGTAGTACCTCTCTGATTTTTGAGTGAGGTAGAACCACTTCTCATCAATAAACACAAAGTCAAACAAATCCTTGAACTTTGGATCATCAAGCAAACCTTGATCAATCATGTCAATGCACCACTTCAACCTAGTCTTCTTGTTATCATCAGTGAGGTAAGGTTTGATGCTACTAGAGTGGCGCCTAATGAAACCCCTTTTCAAATACCTTTGTATCCTAGATTTGCTAATACCAAGTTTACTAGACACATCTTCTATGGTCATCCTTTGCTTGAGAGGAATATCCCGCAACTTTTCCAAATCTAGAGGGATTGCTTTGCGGCCACTTCTACCTTTCTTTAGATTAGGAACCACGACCGGAATGTTTTGAGAAAGTTGGTTTTTACCTTGCCTCCATATGCGCTGAACTGATCTAATTTTTACTCCAAATTGGTTAGATACAATTGTTGTATCATGCTTGCCTAGTTTCCCATTTTTGCTTCTCATCAACAATGCTTGATACACTTGTTGTCTAACACGATCAGAATAGTCATTCTTCGGTTGGTGTAGTGGAACGGGAGCATCACCATCTTGTTCTAGCAAAACGAAAAAACAAGCTTTTTAATAGTACAAAGTAGTCACGGCATGATGTAGTTAAAGGAAAAAACCAATCATTTTAATAATGATAACAACAAGCTTATTTACAGTCCAAATTAGTGACGACATGATGTAATTATAGGGAAAAAAAC